ATTGTTCAATCAAATCTACGAGATCGACAAAAATCATCTGAAGGTTTTGCTTCATGATCTATCTATAATCACATGTGTCGATGATCTTATATCCAAATCTGACCTCGCTGGATATCGGTTTCTGAACGGGCAGGATTCAGTCATCGGTAGTTGTTCTCATTTTTGTATCAGACTCATAAAAGAAGTCATCTCGAGAAAATATTCTGACACCAATCACTAGGAAACATGACACTTAAGTCACAATTACTGTTAGTAGAATCTTACACTTGATGAATTTCACCAATTTGGCTCATATTTATCTTATAGGAACAAATTTCAAGTTTTAGTTCAAACTAATGGACCATTTCAGAGATATTGACATTGAAAGGATAGCTACTCAGACTAATTTTGAGCGTTTTTGAAAGCGACATTTTCCATGAAAAATGCAGTTTTCTCATGAATAATAGGAGTCGTAGCAATGAATTTTTTTACCATAAATATTATCAATTCTGGCCTATTTTTTCATGATATTGAAACCAGATTATTACTTATAACATCTGATAATTTCATAAGTTGATCACAGAATTAATGACCAGATTGATAAGGCAAGTTGATCGACTCAGCTCAATAATAAGCAAGGTTGAGAATAAGTTCATTTGAAAGAGAACATCAGACAATGTGAAATGACATTTTGAAAAATTTGTAGGACTGAATCTTGACACACAGCATTTTTAAAATTGTTTATGTAAATATTTTAAATGAAAGAACATGATAAGAAATGTCTGAATTCAAAATTTCAGTCCACTTGGGGATGTCTCTAAAAGTGGTAAAAGATTTTTTTATACTTCTTCAAATTCTGATGAGCGATATAAAATATAGTTGTTTTGTTTTTCTCGTAGCCATGTCTCACGATAGGACTAAACAAAAATCTGAAAGCTTTACCATAAAATATTCTGATTATATTAGCCATTTGTGCGAGTTCCAAGTTGAAACTTAAAACTCGATTTTTTTTGAAATACCTGAGGTGGACTACGGCAATATAATATAAGAAAATTTGAAAAAATTAATATCGAAGCAGCGACAACGTAAAGACACAAAATCTTCATAAGATATTCATAGTTCATTAAGGTATACATAAAGTAGATGATCTGGTCATCGAGTGAATTTGTTTTTATCAAAGTTCCTTTATGAGACAGAAATCAGCTTGATTGACTAACATCTAGTAATTAGAAAAAATGTATCGGCCATCATTTTTTATACAGATGTTCAAAATAGCTGAGCTTTTGGATTTAAAGATTTCTCAACATGTTTTTTCATTTGAAACATTTAAATAAACCATTTGAAGACATAGGTATGGTCGATGGAAGTGTAAACTAAGAGAAGATACTCACCGCTCCATCCATACCCTTTATTTATATTCTTTTGAAACTCTAAGAAAAATGCAGTTTGTAGCCACTCAAAAAACGCTTTGAAATTCATTAGTGTTCACCGATTGCATGCATTGCATGATTCGAAGAAGAATGATGCAAAAATGTGGTAATAAGTCATTATTACACAGCGTTATTTTTTTCGCCGAACTTGTATCCACAAGTAGCTGGTATTTTTGTGTTATCGTCAGATTCTAATAACGTCGCGTATGGAAACATGTAGAAGAGAAAATGATCTAGTTAGTTTTCTACAAGCATCGAAATTCAATTTTTTTCCTCGCTAGGAAGATTCTCTTGAAAGGAATGAATGTCTTTTTTTTTAATGTGAAATTAGTTTTCTCACATGTTTTCCTTCAATGTTCATGTCAACATTCGTTGAGTATAACATTTTATAAATAAGCATACACATAAATGAATAAAATTTGATGAAACGAGAATTCATTTTTTGCCTCTCTTAAAGTGAGTTTTCTGATGATCTTGAATGGTGAGTGCCAGAAGGTAGAGTGCGTGGGAAAACTTGTTGAAAACTGCTATAATATCGTACTCATTTCGTGAAAATATTGAGGTTGCTCGTTTTAAGACTTGAACCAAGAGACTATCTTCAGGTGTGACATAAAATTTTGTAGTCAACTAGTGTAAGCAAGTTCACATCAATAGGACCTCGCTATTCCAACAGATGAAGTATTTATTCTCGAAGTTTTTACTATATTCTGTAATATTGTCGTTGATCCGACGATTGGAGTATGGATTAAGAATTAAAATACCACTAGTGTAACTCGACATTGCTAATCTAACAGTCAAATTGGCATACACTTCTTTCGATAGATAAGCACGGATGTAGTTATTGTGTCGTCATAGACCGAGAATTGGTCCAATCTCAATATGCCTAAGTGACCTTTCTTGATCACGGTATGAAGATGCGCAGCATGCATACAACTAACGAGAATGATGAACAACAGTAGAATTGACTCGACATTGACACCAACAGACATCTTGCTTACTTAGTTCAAGAGATTCACATGTCTACATGCTGAAAAGCAAAAGGATTCTTGGCGATGCTTGCCGTTCTCATTTAGGCCATTCAAACTTATGTCAATGGTCATGAAGTTAGTCGAGAAATGGCAATTTGCTTTTGCTGATCAATATAATCAAATCGCCCTTCATATAATTGCTTCTTTTGTTTGAATAAACATTTAGAATGGATGTAAATGAAGAACAAATGTTTTAATCCATCTCAGTTCTGTTGAAAAGTTTCTATCGTAGATATTTTATTTGTCCAAACAACCATTCACAAGATCATTTAGATATCGGAAATAATCGAATCGATTCTAAAAGCTATCTTTCAATTTCTGAAATCTTCGGAATGCATCAATAAAACCGCTTGATTTCAACACTCCTTCATTTTCTAGACACTATAACCTGAAAAGAACAAATAATTGTCGAATACATTTCTGTCTTGGTTCATCGTTTAATTCCAAAAAATACACTCAAATATTCACTGATCTCAATGTTTGTTCGTTTGATAGAGCCACAATCATTGTGAGATTATCATTGTCTGCATCGTCATAGTTTGAAATGATCTTCTCTCGTTAACTAAATAAGATTAAATTCATTGGCAGACGAATCTTCGACAATAAGATCACTATCATGGTTTGTTTTGTGAGAATTAACTATTCCCAATTAGAACGAAGAGATCATATTGTCTTTCAAATTAGTCTAATAAATGGAAAAGAGAAACGATCATGCTGTTTGTTCAAAACTCATCCTTCGAAAACACAAAGTAGATGATCTCATTTCCAGTCCATTTAATTGAAATGAGAATTGGTGACAAGACATTTTCTAGACACTTCTACCTCTTCATATATAGAGTGTGGGTATCGGTGTGGGTGTGAGTGTAGGTGTGGAGTGTGGCTGTTGATTATCTATTGATCCACACCCACACTCGCACCCATACCCTCAAGTCGTACACGGTGGCTTTTCATGACAATTGTTTACAACGGCCGAAAAGCATTGTAAAACATCGTTTACGGTCGTCGTAACGGATTACCGTATAGAACTAACGCAAACGGTGTCTTACGATGTTTCATCATACCAGCGTATTCAGTTGCCGTGTTGCCACGCGAGTCGTTTCCGTCGATATTTTACGGTCAATATTTACAATCGCCGTAGTAAGCTGTAAAGTATCTCGTACAACCGTTGTAAATGGCCACCACAAACGGCTGACGTATACAATGTGTTACAGTGTTTTCCGACCAAAGTATACAGTCACTGTATTGTTACGGTAGTAGTTTATGATGGACTTTTACAAGTACTCTGTACGATTGCCATAATACGCTGTAAAGCACCGTTTACTGCTGCCGTGAATGGCTAACGTAAACAATCGTCGTTATTCGCCGTGCTTGGTTAGTGAACGGCCGGGCATGATTCACCTGGGATTGAATGAAACAAGAGATTAAGCAACTAACTAATAACTAATTATAATTGGCGAATTTGGGTGCGCATATGTGGCGTGTGCGGGAGTGTGAGGGTGTGAATATCGGTGTAGGAGTAAGCTAGATCAGAGGACATCCACACCCACAGTCCCATCTCAACACCTCGCATCCACAACTACATCCACACCAGCACTCATACCCATAACTAAGCCCAATCCACACAGGTGCCCTCAACATCTCTCTGTTGCAGCCAACGTGCACAAATATGCTGCATTTCGCCAAACTCGTCCAAGATTTTTGTTCGATAAAATTCCTCTGATACTTTTCTCATTGAGGTGAATAGGCTGCTGAACAACCATTATTCTTCTACTTCGAGGTTGAAACTTGCGGTATGAGTATGCGTATGACTGCTATTTTTACCGACGCACTCCAGATCAACGCCTTATCTTCGTAAAATTCTTTCCCGATTGTTTAGACACAGACTTATTTACATTTTGTTGCAGAATTTATTTTATGCAAAACTGATATGAAGTGTACGAATAATTGATAGATAGTCTTTGTGAAGCCTTTTTCTCCACCCGCAATTGTTTTTGCTTCTTCGTATCTCATAACAAGTTTACTTAATTGCTGTACGAAAAACTTCTGAATGTAGAACGTTGTCGGTAGAGCGAAATAATGATTGTCAAGCCGATGGCTACCATAGCCGTTTCTTTTAACCATGCTATCCAAATTTTTAAACCATCATTCTTCCAATTTTTCTTCACATCGGCTAGCGATTCTGCATCGTTCAACACAGGAAACTCTTCTTCTGGAACTTTCTTGTCCAAAAATTTGCATAATGGTGCCCATCCATCTTGTACTTTATAAATCAGCATTCTTTCAGAGGTAACTGATGATTTTATTTTGTCAATATAGAGTGACATAACCTCTTTGCCTGCGGCTGGATAATTATATACATCTTGCCACCAGACAAGTCTATGTAGTCTTAATCGATAGAATTCATTGATATTGGTGAGTGGCCATATACAAAAAGCCTCCCAATTAGAAAGGCGTCTTTCATGAAGTAGACGTTGATAAGAAATAAACCACTTTTCAGGATCACGAACTTGCAGGATAACCTAAGCATTAAAGAGAGAGAGAGAGAGTAGTTACAGTTCAACTGTTATGTATAGTTTGTTTTTTCTTTACAAACTTTCGCTTCAGGATAAGCTTGAGCAATTTCAACCGCAAAATCAGCAAATGGAGAATCGACGCCGGCAACATATCCAGAAAATCGTTTATCAAAAAAGTCTCGCCAATCTTGACCAGTCCATGTTTTCTCTAAATGATTTGCATAAATTTCTCGCCAGGCTGCCGCTAGTTTAGGATCATTGATACAAGAATCCGTATGCATTGTCTTTGCAAAGCCTAATTGTTCAAGAGCCATTTTCATTGACGTCGTTCCCGTCCGTGGCAGACCCGCAACAATAACCTCAATTGGCATGATTGTGCGTATATATTGCTAGTTTAAAAACGTCGTGGAAGAGACTCTCTATCAATTAAAAAATGTAAACACAGCAATAGACTGCATTGCTCTCCTCAGACAGACCATTCGAATCATTTAAATACACTGGATCACTGGTTTTGGCGTGATTGTTAGGAATTTTAACGAGAAACTTGAAAAATTGCACTATTGACAATTGCCAAAAGATCGGTTTTGGTGTTCCATAAAAGCCTAACCGTTGGCAATAGACGAATGCTCGAAATAAGTACTGAATCGACTAATTAACTAAGTTTAAAAAAATCGCATTTGCAGCAATTTTTTAATTAGTAGATTTTTGGCACTATTTTTTAATTAGTGAACTTTCGGTAATGAATGATTAACACCTTCTTAGCAAGGCATAGTTGTGAGAAAACTAACAAATTTGACTACGAATTTCAAAAACTCTGAGTAATGACGCAATTAAATATTACGTTGGCTATAATGTGGATAAAGGGAGCCGTCTGAAAAGCACATAATATGAAGAGCAGACAACATAAAACTCAACCATCCTGCAAGCGAGGTAGCTTGCAAGACATGCACAGTGTGAGACGGGCAGGCTGCAACGCAAGTAGTCTGCAACACAAGCACTTCTGGCCACGTTTTACTCGAACAGAACTGCAAAAGATCGAAAAATTCTTATTCTCCATCTCTTGGCAATGTCAAATTATATATTACCGTAAGTCCAATGGTATCCTATTTACTTAAAAGATAATATCAACAGTCTATTACAAAATTTTCGAATATTGGCAAAAGTTAAGTACAAAAGTCAAAATTTCATTTTTTAACAGGACTGAATTTTCGGCAATTTCTGAATGGCCATTCTTATTATACATGAAATTTTGATGTATGACGTGATTTTTGGCAATTGCCGAGAGCTAACTACAAAAGCCAGCACTGCGAAATTCATGATATCCATTTTAATGATTTCTTTTATATAAAATCAAGGTATCATGTGCATTAGAGTTACTTTCAGTAATTAACCTAAATATTGATATTTTTCGCAATGCTATAATATGACGGTTCTTCTTGCTTTTGTCGAGCAGTCTTATTTTCAGGTTCATTATCAGCATGTGTAGGAAGAATTTCTTCTAAGGATGGGCACATACGGTGTATGTGGAGTTTGCAAATTAGGAGAAACGAAAGGAAACGAAAACTGATGACTGACTAAAAATATCGATATTTTCAAGCTCAGATGAGATAGTAACTCACCCACGGATTGTCTAACAACGGCATATGTTTCAGTGTTTCTTCACATATAGCCTTAAAAAGTAACCTATCTTGTACAGAATTGTATCCCAATCTCGAATATTAATATCTTAGCTGTGCTTGCTGACAAAACGAAGAAAATAAAAGCTTACATTAGTTTATTTTGCGATGAGTCGGCCATGCCCATCGGAACTATTCAAAAAACCAAGTGTATCAGAATTCACTACAAAATAACAAGTTTCGTAGGAAATATTTTCCTTATCTATTTAATAATAAAAATTTCGATATGGTTCGAAAATGGCATAAGTAATATGAAAATACTGAAATATTCGTAGAGAGATTTAACCATTTCAGTATTTTTATCTTATTTCTACCATTTTCGAGTCAAACTCAAAATTTTTTGTCACCAAAATGATCAGAAAACACTACCTGAGAACACTTATCGGCAGTGCAGAAGTGTACTTTTAATTGATAAAGACCTGCAGCACAATATCATCCGTTTTCGATGCTTACTACAAGTGTAGAGTCGAGCGTTACGATGGCCGTTTGCGATCGTATACGGCACAACACGACACCATTGTTCCTGTGATCAGCATTCCTTTCCTACTCCTTCAGTTTCTCCTTAAGAAACTAAGCTGGTCGTTATTCTCACTGATATTTATTTATTTAAAACGCACAGAAATAACTCCAATATGATAAGACTTCAAACAAAAAATAGTTAAAAACTGGCAAATTTTGTAATCTGTGCATGCGACAAGAGAAGATGATTGTTGTGTTTGAAGAAACCAACCATCCAGTGATATATGCGTCGAACAATAGAGTTATAAAAGAGAAAAGATTAGATAAGAACGAAAAAAAAAATAATCTTACCTGTTCCTATACCAAAAGAAGAAGACTGCTTTGCTTAAAAAGGTGACCGGACAATTCATTGCGGGTCAATTCGTTGCCGGACAATTAGTCGCAAGACAATTCGTCGTAATGATATAATCTAATTATAACTTATCATTATTTTCTCATAAATGAATTGACCTATTAAGATAAGTTAGAAATACATAATTCAATGAGTATGTAAATTATAGAGACTATTTTTAATGACTAAACTTTGATTTTTGATCCCGAGCAGTACAATAATCGTCTTGTACATATAAAAAGTTCAGTTATATGAAATATGTCAGCGGTAAAAGTTTTCTTACAGAAGCGGAAGTGATATTGCATCTTTCTTTCAATTCTTGCCATAGCTCAAGATTTACGATACATGGGACAATAATTTGAGAAAATAAGTGAAATCTAGTATTCACTAACAAAGATTGACTTTAACATAACCAAAAAACTTTTGATCAAATATTTTTATTAAATCTCCGTATTTAACGTACAAATTTTGTTAGTTTAAAGACGATCAGCTCTTATTTTAAATGTTTAAAATTAAACTGGTTTGAATTAATCGATGATTTATATAGTGCTAACACTAGTTTTGATGATTTCTCACGTTTGAGGTTTTTTCATCTAATCAATATTAATCGTGAAGTAGAAAATAGATCCGATTTTTTTATCAAGCCAGAATATCTTATCATGATAGAAACCGAAATAAAAATTCAAAGTTTAGTCATTAAAAATAGTCTCTACAATTTCCATACTCATTGGATTATGTGTTTCTAACTTATCTTAATAGGTCAATTCATTTATGAAAAAATAATGATAAGTTATAATTAGATTATATCATTGCGACGAATTGTCCGGCAACGAATTGTCCATGCGACGAATTGTCTTAGCACCCTTAAAAAAACCGATCATTCAATAATGTTCATGTCGAGCAATAGATCTAAAAACAAAAATTCTTATTCGAGGGTGTGGGTGAGTTTGATGTCAGTATGGATCTATTACATCTCTTCTTCAATAATCACAGCCACACACCCACCCACATCCACATCGAGTATCTCTGAGATTCCTCTGTGATCCTGTAGGATTTCCAGATATTGTGAATCTCGGAGATACGATGGTTTCCCCTTACTTGTTATAGATTCAATGAAAATCGATAATGAT